TACCACAAGTGGCCATGCCCAAACCCTAGGACTTCATGTTTTCTTAGCCCTTCGGCACCCATGTCTCGAGCCCTAACTCGGACATTTTATGTACTTATTGCCTTTCGGCACCTACTTAATGAAACTCCTGACCTTGGCTTATTTATACTCATTTTATGATTTCAATTAGCAAACAGACTTTCATAACTCCAAAGCGCCTGCTATCATACAAACATAACATCAAACCCTGCCTTATGGCAGGGCAATATCCATACAAAATAAGAGCGCCATCGGCACTCTAATAAACTATCCAAAACAAATACTAAGGTTACATCATTAACAAAAATATAAGGCCTTCAGGCATTAGCACGCTCCTCCCTCACCTTTTTCACTGCAGGCTCAGCCCCTGGGATCGCTTCACCTTCGTTGCCTTCGGCACCACCACCCGTTTCGGCATCAGGTAGAGTGGTAGGATCTGCAGAAAAATGGGGAAGCAAACATAAACTCCTTGCCAGGAGGAATAGGAGGAGGCACACCACTGGTATCAAAGTTTATATCCAACTTTAGATCAAACCTTGCCACCAGTTTCTCCCAGCCAAACTGCTCTTCCACCATCGCATCGAGCACAAGGTTATTGAGCTCATCCGAAACCTTGTACTCCACCACAGCCTCGGCACTAGCCTCAACCAACTCCTCCCCCTTCTTCCTCTTTGCCTCCACCATGGCCTCCTCAACAGCCTCTAGAAGGCGAGACACCTCTTTAAGCTTCCTTTCCAACCTCCCCACCTTCAGCTGAAGCACATTCTTCTCCCGAATGGCAGCCTGGGCTTCGGCAGTGGCGGCCTTCTCGATCTACGAGTGACGTCTCACCAACCTTACCTGCTTATCTGCCCTGGCTAGGGTCAAATACATATCCCCAAAGGCCTGCGAACAAACATCAACATCATTGGTTAGAATTAGCTTCCAAAAAAAAAAAGCCAACAATTAACCAAAGTATCAAGACACTTACATTGGTAGTAGACAAGACTGACTTCTAGACTTGATCCAAGAAGTTCGTGGCCTCGGTTCGAGAGAGCTCCCCCACACCCGTCTTTACCTTGGTCAAGAAGGCGTTCACAATGGGCACTTCCTGACGATGCATTGCCAAGGTCACCTCCTTCTTTTGCCACCTAACAGAGGCAAAATCCATATCCTCAGAACCCTCAGGGAACAGCTCCTACATACTGAGCAGTAGCCTATGGGGAGGCTCCAGGTCAAAGGGCGGCAGCTCCGATCCTCCTATGACATCATGGATAGCTGACTCTAGCCCCCAAAGCCTCTTATCAAGCTCTGCCAACCCATCATCCTCATCTCGAGGTCGCTTACCAGTGGCATGCCCCTCCACCCCCTCGACCGTGCTGGCTGAACCCTTCGCTTATCTTCCCTCAGCCTTCTTGGCCCTGTTGGCCTTCTCCCTCTCCCTCCACTCCCTCAACTTTTGTTGCCTCTTCTCCTTATCCACCTTCACCACCTTCGGTGACCCCTCCACGGTAGCCACTGCCATCCACAAACCACAATAAAGTTAGCCCATCATTCAAATACAAAAACAGAAAACCAAGAAACAAGAAAAAAACTTACTTCCTTGAAGCAACCTTGACTCCAGAAGCAGTGCTGGCGTCATTATGTTCCTCACCTCCTATCTCTCAATTGATACTAGAGTCCTAACCAACTCTATCTCCTCCTCCTCCTCCTCCAGAAGCAGCGCTGGCATCATTATGCACTTCACCGAACCTGTACAGAAGCAAGAGGATAATTAGTTTCCAAACCTTAGGAAGACATGAACATACATATCAAAGCACATACAAACAAGGCAAGTTTAAACAGCAAAAGTTATGACAAAAGACCTATAGATTGAAATTGGGTAGGCACGTGTTTGCTGACGCTCTCCCCAAGCCAACACTCCCAGCCACCAAAGGCAAAGAACCACCGATCCCTCCATGTCTTCTGCGATGTTAGTGGTTGCCCTATAAAGTACTCCATCTCCTTTGCCTTTCGGCAATTAACCTGCACCCAGCCAAAGTTACCCTGTTACCTGGATACATAGTATAAATGCATGAACTGCTCGCAAGATGGCTTCCCTCGCTTGGCCAACCACCACGCTATGTACACCCCATGTAATATGATCCAAAAATTGGGGTTGTGCTGCCTAGGTGTGTAGCCCAATCTTGCTAACATCATCTGCGCCCAAAGATGCAACAGTAGCCTTAGCCCACATTTATACATGCTTCAACTGCTCCAACTCATAGAGACTCAGCATGTTCCTCTTCGGCAGCGGAGCCCCTATAAGAACGTTCACACCGGCAGAAGCCACCACCATCATCCCAGACCCAGATGGCTCCCCCCCACCGACTTTAACCAACTTTCGATGCTTGAGTCATACCTAAAACTCGGTCGGCAACAGCCTCTAGGGCAGCATAGTTCCTCTACATCTCCTTATAAGCTTCCCCCCCAGAGCTTACTGAATGCTCTTCTTCCCAGCCCTACTACCCTCCATTATCAACCTTTCCACAATCCCTTTAGACTTCATACTCTCCCCAAGTACCCAGGGCTTCATCATGTCTATCACTCTCCAAGTCTTCCCCACTGAAGGCATGGGTACTTGGCGGACTTTGGCTATTTCTTTCAGAATTATCAAACACCTACAAAGACAAATACATACAAACTAATGGACATGTGAAGATTAAAACAAAGTCCCTACGAATATGGCATGCCTAATTCTCCTACTATATGCATGTTTATCATTGCTCATCAAATGTTTATCAATTCTTATCAAAGTTCATGCACAAATTCAACAAAATAAGCCTTTCAATCCAAAAATCGAAACAAACACAAACCATACCTTGTTATCACCACCACACACAGCAGTCGGAATCACAATGACCTAGTCAGAAATCGCCTTCGTAGCAACACACTAGCTGGAAATTGCAATGGCCTAGTCAGAAATCGCCTCCACCGCAATACAATTCATTGGAAATCGCCTATGCTTGTCTAACCAAAACTCTTGAAAAACTTCTAAGTACTTTCACTTCTACCCTTCGACACTCTTATATAGATGCCAAAAGACACCTCGATTGTCTCCCTCTCCCAAGCACCCCCATTAGGAACGACGCATCGATCCCCACCAAAAACCCTTCAATTCTTTCGACACGTGGCAGAGAGAGGCTGACGTCACACCTTCCGTTCTGCACCTTCGTGCCGAATGTGCAAGGGACTCACGAGACAAGCACGTTGACGTCACACCTTCCATTTGGCATCCTACGTGTCGAACGTGCAAGGGACTCACGCGACAAAGGCGCTAACGTCACACCTTCCGTGGCGAACATGCAAGGGAATCACGGACAAGGGTACTGACATCACACCTTCCGTTTGGCACCCTCTGTGCCGAAAGTACAAGTGGACTCACACGATAAACCGGTTGACATCACGTATGCCGTTCAACACCCTCCGTGCCGAACATGCAGATGGAGACATGCAACTCTCGCCTGACATCACCATTTCCTTCGGCACCATACATGCCGAAGGTTCATAGGTACTGACGCAATTTCACTCGCACCACACCAGTCCCTTTGGCACCTGCCATGCCGAACCTCCAAATAGATCAAACAACAATAGGTGGTGTCCCAACTTCCCTTCACCTCCCCATGTGCCAATATCAGAGACATGTCCTCGCATAGAATTGCTTTCCCAGCAATCGTGCCTTCTAGCTTCAGAACTTGGGGGACTAGGAGACTGCCTACGACACCCGTCATACCAAAATGCTAGATTTAATTACTTAACATTTTACAAGTTCCCAACCCAGAAGTCACTCCTTAATTGGCAACTTAGGGGACTACTGTTTACACTATAATCAACCGAGCGCATTTGGCATTATACGACTGATACTTAGGCATGCACCCCGGCTGCTAAGGGGAAAGAGACACTCTGAAAGACACCCGGACAAAGCTTTAGAATACAAGTGACATCACCACCTTCTTAACCTACCGAAGGAAGACCTCCTTTTGAAGCGATAACCGCCTGCCGATGCTCTCAATTAGAAAATCTAGTTTCCATGGACATGTGCCACCTCTACAACAGTTTGTACAAAGTCCCACATCAAAACATTGTGCAAAACTCTCGTTCTCATTTCCCTATAAATAGGGAACAGTGCCCAAGTAAAAGAGGTAACTACTTTTCACCTTTACCGTTACCCTGTTAAAATTAGGGAGTTTCACTAAAACACCCAAAATAGGGGTTGCAATTATAAAAAAACCAAAGCACTATTTAAACATATAAACACACCCAAAACCCATCATTACACACACTCAAAATCCATTTATAAACACACCCAAAAAGTTGATTTTGGGTGTGTTTCTATGTTTAAATAGTGCTTGAGTTTTTTTATGAATACATGTCTAGGATTGAGTTTATTTATAAATTTGTATTAAAATTACCATATATACTCGCTGACTTAAAGCATCAGAGAGCCTTCAGAAAGTACCACACTGGTGCTTGAAGCTTAACGATTGCTTCCTCCTTATTTTCTTTTGCAGGACCCCTCTATGTCGAACGTTCATAACCTTCTCGCCCTGTTGAAGATCCACCACTCATTCACCTAAGTTGACCTTCAAAAAAAGAGCATCAACAATGTGAATTTTATAATAAATATGGACACGTGCAACTGAAAATTTTATCCGAAAATTTAATACGAAAATTTTATCTGAAATTTGAGAAGAGAAATTTATAATAAATAGTGACACGTGGCAGTTGAAAATTGTACTAGAAAATCTTAACAAAATTAATCGTTTAAATATTAAAAAAATAAGAAATAAATTAAAGTGAATAGTAATTGTCTTTGCCCTTACCCTTGCATGTGGAAATAAAAAAAGCAAGGCTGCCACTATTTTTGAATAGTTAAAAATCTTGCCTTATCTTTGCGTTGCCTTGTCTTTTGGGTGGATGTGCTCTAACAGAAAGAATTAAAAGAGAGAGAGAGAGAGAGAGAGAGAGAGAGAGAGAGAGAGAGAGAGGAGAATTTGTTTGAGAGGAACAAGAGGGAATCTCAATAACAAAACAAGCACGATTGGATGGAAGAAGGGCGGGATTGGAAAAGGTGTGCCAGGACGCGCGCTAAGGGGGAAGTTTTTCTATTGTAAGCTCTCTTTTCTCTCCAGCCATTGAGATCACTTTGATGGCTGAGATGGGACCGTAAATAGGGGTTCGCAAAAAAGGAGTTCCCACCTGAGCCTCGTGCGGGGAAGGATTCATCAACGACCTGTGCATTTCCCAAAGTCCTACATTGGGCTTTTAGACCAGACCATAGGAAATATAAATGCAAATGCAAATGCTGCAGAGCTCAGTGTCATTGGGACTGTCAGCGTCTCCGGTTCGCGTCGTCAAGTGTTCTTTGGTCGGGCTCCGAGCACCACCGTCAACGATCCCAATTCAATGGCAGCAGCTGGTCCCAAGTGGGCCCAGAAGACCATAACTCTGCCTCCCCAGAGGAGGGGTTGTCATCTCATCACCCCTCAGGTACTCTTTCACACTTGAACCCTAACCCTAACAACTACAGGGTGTTTTCGATTATGACATAACCCGCTTATTATTATGGAGCCCTTCAATTGAAAGTGTTGTGTTTTACTTTTAAGCACAACTTCAATTCAATTATGATTTTGTGTTCAACAATTCAATATCTACTGGTTTCTATTTCAGATAGTGAAGGAAATTGGCCAGGAATTGTCACATTTCAACTGCGGCCTTGCACATTTTGTTTTGAATTTTTTATTTTATTTTATATTTTTAAAATATTCCAGTGCAGCACACTACTGCTTCTCTTACTATCAATGAGAATGTTGACTCTGATGTTCGTGATGATACAGAGACATTCCTCAATAGGATAGTTCCTGAGGTTAGTTTGTTTCCTGTCATGTCTCACGTAGCAGTTGCAGTATACCTTATTCTAAGGACACAGATAAGGTGATGTTTCAATGTTTATTTTCAGGGGACATCTGCACCATGGAAGCATACCCTTGAAGGTTGGTATTGGATTCATTTGATCCCTTGGCCCGTGGAATACTTTTGGTTTTCTCTGTTTAACCCAAATTGTTACTTAACGCAGCATTAACTTGATTGGCTAGGCCTTCGGGTTGGATTTTATATAATTACATATGATTGATATTGTACCCAAAATTTCTGTTTGATCAAATAACCCTTTGTTTGGGTTGGGTACATAGTAATTGTGGTCTTATTTATCTGGTTCTTTGCATTCTTTCCGAAATGTTGATACTAATTTATGTAAGTTTTTCAGGCTCAGATGACATGCCGGGGCATATTAAATCATTAATGTTTGGTTGCGCACTGACGTGAGGATACCTTATTAGATTGGTTGAAACTACTTTTTTGCTTTGAAAATATGTAGCCTCATTGGCATTTACATGTTTCTTGTTCTCATGCAGGGTTCCAATTACAAATGGAAAGCTTAACATGGGACCTTGGCAGGTCTGTGAAACCAATAATTAACTTTCAGAAGTTTTCTACTTACTAAGAGCCTTATTTCTCAACCATAGCTTAGCATGATTTTCATGGATGCTTTGCTGAGTAAATTTCTTGGGCGTAGGCTAATTATTAGCTATGAGAATAGAACTTACAAGTAAATTATGGGCATAAGATTACACTTGCATGCTTTGCTTTCTTCCTTACTAGAATTGGAGTTTCCATAAATTGGTTTTGATCCTTAATTGAACTATTTTCTATGTAGACAGGGTATGTAAATTAAAAAGACTAGAAATAGTTGACCCCCCCAAAAAAAAAGGACTAGCAATGTCTTATGTAAAATGTTTTGAAGACAGGAAATCAATGGTGAAACATTTGCAGACCTAGCTTTAAGAAGCTGCACTAGGCTGCAATTTCTTGTACTCGAGTATGTAAACTGGGTAAGAATTCATGAGATCACTGAGTGAGAGATAAAGATAAAAATAGGCCTTGTGCTTAAGATTTTACCAAGGCCTTTTAACTTCCAAGGGGCAGGTGAGGCAATTAACAAACTAATAACTATGTTGCAATGAAATTAGCACTGTGGTTTTCAATTATTGCTTATCGTTTTTTTGGAAAGCTTCAAATACGCAGTACATGTGTATATTCTTGTATGTTGTAGGATGGATAACTAGTTTCCATTGCTTAATTGTTTGGCTCTCTAGTAAAGCAAAATTTCAAATTGTGGCTGTGTTATTGATATGTCATTTTGCATAATTTTTCCTTGTAATATCCTTCAGGGAATATGGTTGTGCGAGCATCGTGACTATCCTACTGGGCGGAAAGTTGTGGTCACCCTTAATGGAATATGAGAAGCTTAGATTTGGAAGTTTCCTGTTTCTTTCATCCAGTGCAAATGAAGTTGTACTCAAGCATCTTCTATGTTCATGGGTGGGTGGGATGTTAGTGTGCTAGCTATTTTCTATGTTAATGGCAGCTTCCCTACCAGAATCTGGTAATACCTTGTTACTTGTAATGGATTTAAGTTTTGTTATGCAAACCTGTAGAAAATGTAATGGAATTAAGTTGTTACTTATTAGCTATTGCGACAATAGCAGCTGCTTGCCAATTACCATGTAAGAAATTTTGGAAATTCCTGGGAGTTTATACGTCGAAACCTTGTAGGTGTATATAACATCAATGGGTCAAATTGCAGGTATTAAAGTTACATGATTCTGCAGTGGGAGTCAGCCTGATTGGTTTTTCTTATTTTCTAATACAAGCGATAGTCTAAACTAGAGGGGAGGGTTTCTCACACACATGCACAATCAAGATGTCATGGAGACTAGACCTCACGCACAATCAAGATGTCTGTTCGAAAAGGGTAAAAAAAAAAAAAGGAAAAAAAAAAAAGGAAATATCTGAGTTACGAAGTTATTATATAAATGATGTATATACACACAAAGGAATGAATGGAATTAAATTAATTTAACGCATCATGATTGTGAACTCATTAAAGCTGAGAACCCCATCTCCGTTAAGGTCGAACGCTCGAATCATGGCTTTGCAGTCATCGATGGAGCGAGAGTCGCCGAGGCGGCTGAGCATCCTCTTCAAGCTGGCTGGGGTTATGCAGCCAGAGCCTTCCATTTCATACATCCCAAAGGCATCTCTGAGCTGCTGATTCTTGTTGTCCTCGTTTGTGGCTTCCATCAACTTCTGGAATTCTTCAAACCCCAGCAGCCCATCTCCATCGAAATCCGAAGCCTCCACGGCGGCCTCCGCTTCCTCCTCAGACAGCTCTCCCCCAACACTCCTCACACAAGTCTGCAGCTCTGCTGGGGAAATCTTACCATCTCCGTTCTCGTCGAAGAAATCAAACACCTTCCACATCTGGAGGTCGCTGTTGCTGCTGATGCTGCTGCATGTTGTTGGGTTCTCAATTGGGCCCTCTACATCATGATGACCTGCCTTTGTCTTTCTTGGAGACACTTTACGGCACAATCTTCCCAGGGCGGACGATGATGACTTGGGGGTGATCTCCATTGAAATTGCTAATTTGGTACTTTAATTGCTGCTATGTAAATGCGGACTCTGATCTCTTCTAAGTGCTCTTCCTGGCTTCGTGGCTTCCTGACTTGTTGTATATGATGCTATTTATAGACGATGAGACCATGGGGATAATGCAACGATGAAAAGAAGAGGATAAACTTATAACTATTATAAAACAATGGATCCTTGTTGGAGTGTAACAATAACAAACGTGGAAGCCTCGTATTTATACTAGTTTAGGATATTTGAGGGGGGAGAGAGAGAGAGAGAGATAGAGAGAGAGGTTCGCTATATTCTTCGATTGGGATATGGAATGACAAATTCCGTATTACATAGGAGGACAGAAGAACACGGTTGAGCGGCCAAATCCAGTTTTTTATAATCATTTTAAAATACTTGATAGATAAAATAAAGACAAGATTTGCCGTACCCGCCGGTTGTTTTGGTTTGCTTTTGTGGGTTTTGAGGTTTCAGCGCGTCAGGGAAGCTTCCTGCTTGCGGCCTGCAGCGGGTTTCTCCTCCTGGCATTTCTGCGTTTCTTTATTTTTTTGACAATTTAATAGTCTTAATTAAGGTTTCTGTATTTGGTTGACCTCGCTGCTTTTTGGACCTTATTGAATTTCTAGACGTGGGAACAGTGTCGTACACCTGATACTAAGGGGACAAAATAGAGTATGTCGGCTACCGTCACAACTTGTGTATACAAAGTTAGTCTCCCCAAAATGGGATGTGATTTTTCCACTTTTCTTTTTTTTACTTACACTTCCTTTTGCTTTTTAGGAGAGTGTATTCAATTATGATTTTAATGAATTGTTTTTAAGTTTAAAAATACAACAGTATTCAATTAGGATTTTTAAGTAATTAATAAAAATTTGGTGGTATTCAATTATGATTTTTAAATAATCAATACAAATCCGTTGGTATTCAATTAGGACTTTTAAAAGATAAGAAAAAGTACCGTGGTATTCAAAAACTTACTGATTTTGAGGTATTTCATTAAATGATGTATTGTGTAAGACTTTTGAGTGTGTGATATAAATACCAAATCACATAACAAAATCTCATCTTCCTATGCATGATTCTCATACTTTTTTTCCCCACTATTTTTGTATGCTTTTGATTGTACATAAAAAAAAACTTTTCATAAGAGAGACGATAAAGAAACATTAACAAGAAAGACGATATTGCCTCTTCTGGAGCTAATGGGCATTTTCCAATAGCTTTTCTTTCCCTGTAGACAAGCTTATTTGGAGCAAAATTATATTTTCAATACTTTTTTTTGGGGTAAATTACTCAAATGGTCCTCAAACTTGTACGCGATTTACATTTTGGTTCATAAATTAAATTATTAGTCCAAATGGTATATAAACTCTATTTTAATCGTCTGTTTGATCCAACCGTTACATTCTGTCAATGTTGCTGTTAAATATAAAGGCAAATTGGTCATTTCGTAAGTTAAAAATAAATAAAAACTCTCCCTCTCTCTCTTTCTCTCTCTCCTCATTCCCCCATGGCCACCACCCTCAAGCTCCAACCTACCCATCTCACAACCACTCTCCACCCAAACCCATCCAACAACCACCCTTCATCCCAGGCCCCATGAACCCAAAACCCAAGCTCCTCCCCACCCTCCACCCAAGCCAGCAACTACAGAAAAAAAAAGAAAAAAAAAATCTTCCACAAACCCCCTCCCAACTAACCCAAAACCCCAACTCAACAACCACCCAGACCCTCTCCCCCTCCCCCTTAATTTCCCTTTGTTGTTGAGAGACAACCACCCACCATCCTCCTCCCCACCTCATTACCTACCAACCCCACCTCCCAAAATCACAGCCACTGTCAATTTCTCACCCTCCAAGTACAAGTATCGGTTCTTCAGCCAAGACACCGAAATTGCTGCGAGGGTTTTGGGGATTTATGCCGTCAATACCAAGGCCAACACTCCCACCATTTTCGCCATTGCCCACCTCCTCAAGAGCTTTCCCCTTCCTCTGCGTCACTTCAACAACCTTTGTTAGTATTATTTTGGACATTAATTGTTGGGCTGGATGGTTGAAGGCCATTGCCAAACCATCTGTTTTTATTTATTTTACAAACACAGTAATTGGAGAGGTCTGTAGGGAATTGGGGAGAAGAAATTGAAGGGAGGGGGTTTAGGTCTTATGATTTTTTTTCACTTTTTCTTCAATTATTTTATAATTTTGTACTTATTTTAAACTTATTTTATTTGTTAATTATGAAAAGTCGTATTTGCCCCTAAAATTTGGTTACATTTAACAGAAAATGTAACGGTTGGATCAAATGGGGGATTAAAATAGAGTTTATGTACCATTTGGACTAATAATTTAATTTAAGGACCAAAATGTAAATCACGTACAAGTTTGAGGACCATTTGAGTAATTTACCCTTTTTTTTTTAATTTTTAGAATCTCCTGCTCATTGTAGACATTTCCTTGCAAGGAGTTGCAGACCTCCACAACTTTGCCGGTGTGCTCACAAGTTGCTTGATCTAATGCCTTAAAGAGGCCTTTTTTTAAATAAAAAAAAATATTTATTTTATGTGTAATTGCTGTGCATACAGCTGTTTGGGCTCAATTTGGCACACCCAGCCCAAAATCACAAGGCCCATGCCAATTTTGGGCAGCCACCAGCATTCTTCTGAAATTGGGCCAAGACACACTCAGCCCAACACTAGAGGCCCAGAAGGATGAAACAAAATTAGACCCAAACGGTTCGGATCCAAATTGTGAACAAAAGCCCAAATCCAAAGGAGGCCCAGCCTAGGATCTGTCTAAAACATAAATAAATAAGACTTGGGCCTCGGAAAGACGAAGAAAAGAAAGAAATCAGCCCATGGTCCAAACTCGAATTTGGGCTTGCCATGATTAAAAAGAGGAAACCCAAAACAAAAACAGACCCACGTGACGTTTCTGACTTAGAAAAGTCAATATTTTCAACTGGGGTTAACAAAAGCAGGCGGCTAGGAGAAGATTTCTCTGAATCTCTGCCATCAGAAGGTCAGATCCCTTTTTATATATTTGGAAATAATTTTTTTTCTCCAAAAGAGGGTGGTTCTTCCAAAAAGATAAGCAGGCTATGTTCTCAAACAGAGATAAGCAGAAGGACAGGGAGTTGATCAAAACTGGAAAATCAAACTAACCATCATAGTTTGAGCTCTCACAGGGAGCAGTTGGAATTAAAATAGGAAAGTGATTGACATAGGAACTGACCGTTGAGAGCTTATTTGCCAGAATTGATAAAACCCCTTCTTCTTTACATTTTAAAAATGAAAGATCTTTTGAGAAATTTTGCCTCCCATTATTAAAAGAATTATCCTACTCTAGAAAGCACTTCTTATAAATATAGGAGAGGGTGAACAGGGAAAAACACACTCAATTCAACAACAAAATCAAACAACTAAAATCAACCCAAGACAAGAACTCAAAATGATCACTTGATCCTTGAGAACCCCCAAACAGACTGAAGCAACCAAGAGCCCAGTCAAGCCAAAGAAGAAGCCAGCCATGATTCAGAACTTCCAAGCTCAGACTTAGAAAATAAGTCATTCAAAACGAGATTCCTCTTGTTACAAATTTGGTTCAGCAACAGCCAAGACAGGCGGAGCTTGAGTTTTCATAAATATGAAAACCTCAACAAATTTATGGAGAGTCCTAATCAAGTAGATTAGGTACCATAGTGCAGTTCCGGCTTAGTAATCCTCAAGTCCAGCCACTTTTGTCCCGTTCAGACTGAAGAGATTGCAGTTCTGCTCATTCAAAAAGCCTTCTAGGTCTTGAAATAGATTAAAGCTCTGCCAAAATCAAGCTTTGGTATCGATTTACGCCTAAAGCTTGGCAGTTGAAGTTGTTGACAGTTCAATCCAGCACAGACATACCCAGTCCAGCCCGGATCAAAAGCTTCTATCCAGACAGAAATGGAATTCTAGCCTTCTTTTTGCCCTCCTAGAGTTGATTTTTTCTTTCTGAGTCTTGTAAAAGGCAGTTCTGTGTAAAACAGTTCACTTTTATTACCATTTATTCTGGCCAGAACTACCATTTTTATACTAAGATAAATTGTGAAGTCCTCACCAGTCTGAGGTTAGAAAAGAACTTACTTGGGAGATAT